AGACAGACAGACAGATAGATAGATAGATAGATAGATAGATTTATTTGAAAATTTATTTCTCAATTTATTTGAGAAAGGCAAAATGGTACACCATATGATGTGATACTGACATCACAAATATGAGATAGAATATAATGCTTAAACATACAACAAAACATAAAGACATTTTACGAACTCAATGTAAACAGCATCTCTCCTCAACATTCTCTGTGCACACTCAAAGAGAAAATTACAGTGTCTATTTAACATCAAATCAAAAGGCTGCATCATCATCATCATCATCGTCATCGTCAGTGCCCAATCTGAGGAGTTTCTCTGATCTTTGACTCACTGCTGGAGGAATCTCTCAGAGGACCTTGCCTCAAACAGTTCTCTTTAAAGAGTCTTCATTCAGAGCTGCACTTCCTCAAAGGCCCATGCTTTCATGTCGCTCCTGCGCTGCTGCTCTCAGGTGCAGTGGACCAAAGGTGTGTCTCAAGTCTACAGAGAGCAGATCTGACTGAGGCAGCACTCATAGATCCCAGCTGGAACAGGACAGGGAGGGGGACGATTCCCACTTCCCGACTGTATGTCCTGGTTTAGGCTGCAGCCTGCCAACAAAGATAGAGGTTGCAGAATTGAACCAGAGATCAAGGCGAAGAGCTGACTGACATAAGCTGACACTTACCAGAGGAGTTCATACACGTAAAAGGAAATCCATTTTGGTCAAAATTATGCAGATCATCTCTTCCATTGCTGGAAATCTGCTCAACTCGATTAAAAGTGGCCTGAAAAACTAGACACAGACACGGAAAGTACAGAATTAGCTAAACGCATTTTATTGGTATTTGATACTTCATATTTATGTTTATATTCCCCCTATAAAAAAAGATCAAACATCTTTTTTAAAATTAAATCACCAATATTTAATTGAAGGATTTATGGAACATCCTACAACGTTCACATTTTGTTTACATTTTGTTTTCCTGCTTAGTCCCAGTTAACATGCACATGGATCTGATTAAATGATCTAATTTAGTGGTTTTCGAGCTGTTGTCGAACACTCATTTAACAGAGCCAGATTTAAATCATTACCACTTGTTATTATAAACTAACTGCATAGACAATGGGAAACAAGCAAATGCAACTATAAATCTTTAACAGCAACAATGAGTCTCTTCATGAAATGCTCTGTGTTCCCGTAAATGAAGGCCTTCCTGAAACAGACTGTAAAATCAGTTGAAGGAGGTATTTATCCCAGACCTGCTCTGCTGACTAACGCTGCTGCGTTTTGTAAAGTTAATGCATATTCCAGCATTAGTGCCAACAAGTTGTCAGTTTGCGGAAATATTGTAGCATATAAAGCAGCAGAGTGAAGAATGCCTTGCGCCATTTTTGTAACATTTATGAAGGTAATACAGAATAGCTTTCTTACCGTGGTGATTTATTGGTACTTCATGAAACATCTGGTTGAGTTTTTGATGTGGGTTTGGGAAGGAGCTGTGTTTGTCAGAAACAGACTGGACCTCATTGTTACCACTGACCAGGCTGATTCCACAAACCAGTGGAGAAAGTCTGAAATAACCCAGCAGTTGCTTTTAAATTCATGCATTCATGTCTATAATCATGCACACTAAACTTCTCTTGAAATGATTTATTTCATGCCCTTTAATGTTCTTAACATGAGCCATTATCTGGGAATTCTGGGGAGTGACAATTTATAAAGCTATGTATTTATTTATTTAGAGGAGATTCAAGGTTACATGAATGTAATCATATTTTTATATTTATGGATTAAATAGAGCATAACAGTATATAAAATATACAGTATATTTGCTTATTTTATTAATTATTTTAACAACCATTTATTTATTTAGAATTTAAGAATTTAAATTCCCTATTCTATTCTATTCTATTCTATTAATTCTACTGCATGTCAAATTGAGCCAAGATTCAAGAACTGCTTAAATGATTACATAAAAACCTCAGAAAAGATTGCCTCACACAACATAAAAACAAACAGTTCACATACAAACAGTACCTAAAAGTTGTGGTCATAACTAATGTATTACTCTAGAGATCAGTAAACGATGAAAGAATGTTACTATTGGTAACTCATTCCTCTCGAGAGCCCAGAATTGGCTGTAACTCACAGCTAGCCAGCAATGAACCATCATGATGCACTTTATGTGGAGCACAGTGTTCATTTAAATTATGTGGTCCCTTACAGAGAGGCCTGAGGGTGTTCGGCCCAAGCGTCTTTTGGAAGATCTTTAGTGTTATTCATCAGCAAGAGCTGCTTTTGTCAATATAACTCACATCTGCTTAAATGGAGCTACACCCCAATGAAAACTAACCAGTCATATTCAGAGAAAAATAGTCTGGGACAATTCTCCCACTAAATTTGATCACCCTCTCTAATGTAAATATTGTGCTATGGTGTAGATACCCTACTGTGTGAACGAGAGTATAAGTAAAATGAGTAAAACATTAAAAGAGTCTTTATTAAACATCTCAGAGAAAATGAAAGAAATTTAGGAAAACCATATTATGCATTATAAATTATATTAGCAACAAAAAAATTTTAAACTGGTGAAAAGAACACAAAATCCATCATGTGCCTGGTAGTGCTGTGTCCTATCACTGGACTTTACAGTATAAGTGAGGCAGATAAGTGGTCTGTGTGTGGGAGCCCTGCAGCGCTGCCATGTGTGTGGAGCAGAGAGCTGTGTCCCAATAGAGCGACTGTCAGCACAAAACTCAGAAAACAGCTCCACTCTTCACTTGTTATTATAAACTAACTGCATAGACAATGGGAAACAAGCAAATGCAACTATAAATCTTTAACAGCAACAATGAGTCTCTTCATGAAATGCTCTGTGTTCCCGTAAATGAAGGCCTTCCTGAAACAGACTGTAAAATCAGTTGAAGGAGGTATTTATCCCAGACCTGCTCTGCTGACTAACGCTGCTGCGTTTTGTAAAGTTAATGCATATTCCAGCATTAGTGCCAACAAGTTGTCAGTTTGCGGAAATATTGTAGCATATAAAGCAGCAGAGTGAAGAATGCCTTGCGCCATTTTTGTAACATTTATGAAGGTAATACAGAATAGCTTTCTTACCGTGGTGATTTATTGGTACTTCATGAAACATCTGGTTGAGTTTTTGATGTGGGTTTGGGAAGGAGCTGTGTTTGTCAGAAACAGACTGGACCTCATTGTTACCACTGACCAGGCTGATTCCACAAACCAGTGGAGAAAGTCTGAAATAACCCAGCAGTTGCTTTTAAATTCATGCATTCATGTCTATAATCATGCACACTAAACTTCTCTTGAAATGATTTATTTCATGCCCTTTAATGTTCTTAACATGAGCCATTATCTGGGAATTCTGGGGAGTGACAATTTATAAAGCTATGTATTTATTTATTTAGAGGAGATTCAAGGTTACATGAATGTAATCATATTTTTATATTTATGGATTAAATAGAGCATAACAGTATATAAAATATACAGTATATTTGCTTATTTTATTAATTATTTTAACAACCATTTATTTATTTAGAATTTAAGAATTTAAATTCCCTATTCTATTCTATTCTATTAATTCTACTGCATGTCAAATTGAGCCAAGATTCAAGAACTGCTTAAATGATTACATAAAAACCTCAGAAAAGATTGCCTCACACAACATAAAAACAAACAGTTCACATACAAACAGTACCTAAAAGTTGTGGTCATAACTAATGTATTACTCTAGAGATCAGTAAACGATGAAAGAATGTTACTATTGGTAACTCATTCCTCTCGAGAGCCCAGAATTGGCTGTAACTCACAGCTAGCCAGCAATGAACCATCATGATGCACTTTATGTGGAGCACAGTGTTCATTTAAATTATGTGGTCCCTTACAGAGAGGCCTGAGGGTGTTCGGCCCAAGCGTCTTTTGGAAGATCTTTAGTGTTATTCATCAGCAAGAGCTGCTTTTGTCAATATAACTCACATCTGCTTAAATGGAGCTACACCCCAATGAAAACTAACCAGTCATATTCAGAGAAAAATAGTCTGGGACAATTCTCCCACTAAATTTGATCACCCTCTCTAATGTAAATATTGTGCTATGGTGTAGATACCCTACTGTGTGAACGAGAGTATAAGTAAAATGAGTAAAACATTAAAAGAGTCTTTATTAAACATCTCAGAGAAAATGAAAGAAATTTAGGAAAACCATATTATGCATTATAAATTATATTAGCAACAAAAAATTTTTAAACTGGTGAAAAGAACACAAAATCCATCATGTGCCTGGTAGTGCTGTGTCCTATCACTGGACTTTACAGTATAAGTGAGGCAGATAAGTGGTCTGTGTGTGGGAGCCCTGCAGCGCTGCCATGTGTGTGGAGCAGAGAGCTGTGTCCCAATAGAGCGACTGTCAGCACAAAACTCAGAAAACAGCTCCACTCTTCATATTTTCACAGCGAGCCTCTCTATATGCACTAATCACAGCCAGCTGCCCGTACTCACCCTTAGGCTGGAATGAGAGGAATCTTTCATGCAGCATTTAAAAACCCCAATTTACCCATCACACCGATCCTCCTCTTGGTTGACAGTGTTATTTTCGGCCTGCACACTGTAGTGAAAGACCTGCTTAAAAATGTTTGGGTAAGGTATCCTGTCATGTTTGAGGAGGTCATTAAATAAGTGAATGAAATGACTCAACTTTACAAGGCAGGAACTTTCATCTTGGAAAAGATTTTATGGATCCAACAGTCCTCCTTTTAAACACACAGGTGGACAAAAATGTATTACTGCTACCAAACATTGCTCCAACTACCAAAGGAACTCCAAATGCACTTCAGTGTCTCATCAAGTTATCATTCCTCATTAAAAACAGCAGGTCCACAATAAGTGAATTAGGCAAAATAACTTGCCCATGATAATTTTTAGATTTAGATTTAATACTTGTCCTTGAGCATTTTTTAGATTTATGAGCATCAATATTTTAGGTTAAATATAAGATTTACTTGTCCGTGAGCATTTTTACATTCATAAACATCAAGATTTTAGGTTAAATATAAGGTTTTAATGTTGTTGAAAGAAGATTCTTATACACACCAAGGCTGTTTTTGTTGGATTAAAAATACAGTAATAACAGCAATATTGTGAAAAATCACTACTGTTTTCTATTTTAAATTGTAATTCATCGCTGAATTTTCAGCAGCCATTTCTTCTGCGTCAATAAACATTTCTTATTATCAATGTTGAAGACAGCTGCGCTGCTTAATATATTTGTAGAAACTGTGATACTTTTTTTCAGGATTCGTCAATTAATAAAAAGTTCAAAAGAACTGCATTTATTTGAAATGGAAATCTTTTGTAATGTAAACGTTTTACTCTCAATTTTATGAGTTCTTGCTAAATAAAACTTTCTGTAAAATAAATAATTAATATAAAAAAAAATCTTACTGAACCCAAACTTATAAGTGTATATTTTAGAAGCTTTGAAAGTTTTTCACCATTTTAATCACTTTTTCTGTCTTCAGTAGTTTATTTTAAATTGTGGTACGTTATGATATATGAATTTTTAAAAGTGCAAAAGGTCATTGTAGTCTTATTTAGTATGCTAAAACTGCATGCATATAAATTATAGAATCATGTGGAAAAAGCTGTTTAAAGGGGTCATATGATGCTTTTTTTAAAGATCATTATTTTGTGTATTTGGTGTGTTTTAGGGGGGCGTGGCAGAGTCTTAACTTTGATAAAGAATATCTCTGGTTTTGAGACTTTAGTCTTTGCAACTTCAGGGATCTTATCTATGCACAATCAGCTTGTAACACTCCAAAGAGAAAGGAAAACTTGAAATCGCATCATATGACCCCTTTAAAATAGTTTTAGATGGGGTAAAGCATGCCACACCACAAGGCTTGTCTTGTAAACTACTCGTACATTGTAGTGTAAGCATATATCAAACTGAATGATTCTTTTGGCAAGAAAATCAAATGGCTAATAACTCATACAAGACCAAATGATAGTGTCTTTTCTGATAACTGCTTTAAAAGAAAGTCCATCAGCATTCACGCACATTTACACAAAAATGAACCGCAAATCACTCAAAATCTCACATTTCATAACAGAGTTTTGAAATAACAATACTCAGTAAGTCTCCTAAATGCTTATTTTTTGTCAAACCAAACAGATTTTGCAATGGGATCAGATTCTGATGACAGGAGTTAGGAAAGATAATTTAGTTATAAAATGTATAATATCATTTAAAACCCATTTGGGAAAAAATTTGCTTTCTGTTTTTGGACCACAAACCCAAGCCTTCAGTGTTTCTGTCACACAGTCACTCGTAGGATAGCTGGCAACCGAGGGTGTGCGTGAAGTGTTAAGTAGGTTCTGCTGTTATGTTTTGTTTTTTGATTAAACACATTTCCTGTTTACAGCCACAGAGTTTGCTGTCACATCACCTCGAGAGTGATCGTTGCTTACACAAACCAAGTCAAGGCATGTGTTTCTTTTCCGGACACGTCTGGATAAGCAAACGTTCAGAAACAAACACGGCCTGTTTGTGGTCAGTGACAGCATAACAATACGCTTCTTTAACAACCGCAATAAAGAAAGATGAAATAATGAGAAGAATCATTACAGCCATTCCTAAGAACCGAGTTTAAGTGACCACAACAAAAAAATCTGTATGATCTCTGAATTGTCCATATGGCATAAGATTGTATAAACATCTTAATGCAAGACATCCAGATCAAATCAAATCCCTTCACAATCGGCACATATTTGCGTGACAGCGCAACAGTAACATTGAGAGAACAGGTCATGGGTTAACTGTGTGCTGTAAAAAGACCCATGCGAATGCATAATAATAATATTTTTCTACTGAAGAAACATGTGTCGCCACACTTCATTATGTCTTCGTTCTCATGGGCAGGAACGATTTGCTCCCATCGCATCGTGCTGTTTTAATGTTTCACATCATAAGCACATGTTGCTAACTGCTGTGGTTGATGCACATATATGAACTGCAGATGGAGTCCTCCAGTCAGTGACAAAATAGCCAATTAGACTCAAGTAAAATTGCTCCCATATGTATCAGAGAAGCAAACTGGATGTTTCCATGCTGTATGTTTGCTAAAAATGATAATATGCTACGTTCTATATCTAATCTACGTTCTAACTAGTCAATATGAGAAGAAATAACATTTTGTCACTACCATCACAATACAAAATAGTGCACTCAAATACATGGGCATCACTTTTCTCACAAAAGCAGTGGGAATTTACTGTACAGTATATATATATGAATCCTTGCTTCATGTTTCACACTGTACATTGGGTTAATGTTCTTATTTGGATATTTGCGTTGTCAGTGTCATTGATTGGAAGAAAGCAGCACGCAACTTGTTACATAACAGCTCTGGTACTGCACATCCTCATTATATGTCACCAACTGCTAACAAGTTTTTCCTGAATAGACCTTTCGGACTATAAAAGTAAGATTGAAACAGTCTCTTCTTCACTCCAGTTGACACAGTTTCCATCACCAGTTGACGTTTTTTCCCTCAAACGCTGAAATGACTGTTAATTCAACACGCTTTGTTTCTGTGACTGTCCAAAGCATGTAAATATGAGGCCTGGGATTGGATGTCTGTTGCTAAGCATCTAGCAGCTCTAACACGACATAATTTCACACTGTATAAGTTAGGCATCGCAATGCAGGGTTAACACCACAAAAAGTGGTGCTTATCTAAATGATGTGTCTTTGGGGTTAAAAGCTGGGTTTGGAATGACAATAACCCAGGGGTTAAGCGCAGTGTGAAAAGCCCTATACAGTATTATGATGTTCCTGGTCATATATTGTGATGCTTATACAGACAGATTGCTGATCCTCACCTCGGCTGATTGTTGTGCAGAGGGTTGTGAAGGCTGATGCTGCTGTGCTCCATGTTGCAGTGTCTGCTGGGCTGCTCCAGAGATAATACTCTGCAACAGGATTCATCCTCCTCTGGGTATGCTGTAAACCCACAGGAACGACAAAAAAAATGACCAAGATCTCTATATAGTTACAACACATTTACTTCTCAATTACCACAATTAAATGGAAAGCAATAGAGAATTTAATTAATTCTCTTGCAATCAAGTCTAAGATTTCAATATGAACTCAAACAACATTGATGACAATAAACAAAAAATGTTGGTAATACTTTAAAATAAAGTTCCAGTTGTTGTTGCCATTATTAGTTAACAACTATCAATGAAAAATGAAATAAAAATGACAATGAAACATTCAGAATGAGACGTTCTGAGGCATTTATTAATCTGAAGCATTTATAATTAAAAGTTAATGTTAATTTCAACATTTACTAATACACATTATTAAAATCAAATGTATCAGCTAATATCATTTTGACCTGAGCAAACATGATCAATGAACAGTTGTACTTTTACAACTAACACTAACAAGGATGAATGAATATTGCAACAAATGTATTACTCCTTGTTAGTTAATGCTAGTTAATGCATGAACTAATGGTAACTAATTGGAGCTTCTTGTAAAGTGTTACCAAAATGTTTCTTGAGCATCAAGAAACTGAAACGGAAAATTCAGCTTTGCCATCACAAGAATAAATTACATTTTAAAATATGTTACAACAGAAAACAATTTTAAATTGGAATAATACTTCTGTTTTTATTGTATTTTTGATCAAATAAATGAAGCCTTGGTAAGAATGAGAGATGTCTTTCCAAAACATTAAACAATTTTACAGACCTCAAACGTTTGAATGGTAGTGTACATCTAAGATCAAGTTATCTAAGCTATGCTATATTAATTTTATAATTCGATTTTGTCTCATTTGTTGCAATCAACATTTTGCGGTTGGAAAGAGACACATGAGAGCATATCCAGCCATATAATATTAAATGTGTGCTGTAAAACCCATATCACATGCTGTGTTGTGATACTGTGTAAAGTCTTGCTGATTCATTGGCAAAAATGTTAAAGAAACTTATAATCACTGGGTTCATTGAGAGAATTACAACTTGTTAATGTTAAATTTGAGGAACCGAACAGAAAGTGAATGTCATAACATTGCTGATTAATTTCTCTTAATTATGTAATTTCTCTTAATGCTGTTTAATTCCTCATCGATCAAGGTCAGAATGAATAATGTTGTCAGTTTGGCTTCTGATGTTAAACATCTCTCACCGTTATTCTTCACTCGAAACACATAGTTGTTTCTTTCTTATTCGGCAGAATCAGACGACTGAAATATCTTTGGCTTCTGTCTGCCTGCCACATATTTTAGAAAAGTCGCGAGCAGTCTAAGGCAATTAGTGTGGACTGCCCTCATGGATTTTCAATTCAGCTGTTGACTAAAGGAGCCCTGCGCTGTCTGACAGCTTCTTGACTCCGTCTCAAGCATCTGAAGGGAAAAGCGGCTGGAATGGAAAAGATTCTGGAGTGTGAGAGGCATGCGTGGGGTGGCCGCTTGCCCACGGTGGGTACCCAGTGACTGCGCAAACACTGCTCTTTTGAGCTCGTCGGAACAGCTGATGTCAGAAATAGTACGTAGTGTAAATGATGGGTAAAGGAAAATGAGGAAGGGAGTGGACGGGACTCACTGGTCTGAGCACATTCTCCCCTGGACACATCTGTAATGCTAAATGGCATGCACATATAAACCATTTTTTCTGTGCACTGGTTAAAAATGGATAGTGGCTAGAATTATACAGCCTGCTTGTGTACAGGGTTATACAATGTCATCTTTCACTCGCATTGGGTTCTTTTACACTACCATTCAAAAGTTTGGGATCGGTATGATTTATTATTTATTTATTTTTTAGGAGAATTGCACTTGCACCCAACATTTGCCATCACAGCAATAAATCACATTTTAAAAACAGAACAGTTATTTTAAAGTGTAATAATGTTTCACAATATTACAGTTCTACTGTATTTTTGACCAAATAAATGCAGACTTGGTGAGAAGAAGAGACTTTCAAGAACATTAAATAAAATCATAAAACTTTTCAACCGTAGTGTTTATAATAATGTACATCTTGAGCTAATCATGAATGATGTTATGCTTAGTTTTATATGGAAAGAGAAAAATTACAAAAACATTTGAATTTTGCATTTTTAAAAAAATAAATAAATAATTGTGGTGTATTCAATCTATGAAATTCAATGAAAAGAAATGTGAAGCCTTGTTCTCAGTGTGGGCGCATTTATTGCATTTTGCTTTTGTAGAGAAGTACCGCAAAGATATACTGCTTGACTGAGAGCGTCAAAATCTTGAGGCTGAAACAACTTTCTGTTGTTGATTCATTTGAGCATTCAGTGGAGCTAGTGAGCATGTTTGCTATTTGCATGTCACATCTGGCCTCTTGTGGAATAGCACTGCACTGCTTATTAACTGTATTACGGGAACACATGTGTTCTTGCTTAGAATGCCAAAGCCATGGGAATACACAAAGATCTCCTTCATTCTCCTTTGTTTTTTTTTTGGTGGGGGGGGGGGGGGGGGTGGGGATGTTCTGGATGTTTTTAGAGGTGAAATATATATTCGGATTATAATATTATGCTTCAAGTTTTCTGAATTGCAAATTCACAATTCTTAAATTCAAACTGTACAAAAATTAGACCTGAGTTTAAGGTTTTGTGTTCCACAGCAATGCTTGACCTGAGCATTTTGGCCAAATAATTATATTACAAAAAAATATATATAATAATAAAAAAAACTCAAAATCAGCAAAAATATAGTTGTTTTCCATGCAGAAAACACCAGCCAAGACCAGCATGACTTTCCAACCAGATGGTTGAGTCTTTCTGAGGAAGCTGGTTAGTTAAGATTCCCAAGACCAGCATCAATAATAACACAGCATGCTGGTCATTTTTATCTGGAGTACTTTACTTCCTTCAGTTTTACAGCACAAGCAGGCAAAACATCTCGCAGATCATAGTCAAAAGCCCAATATAGGATAGACCATAAGCTATTGGGTATACACCTACCAGTAAAGCCTTCCTGATGAATCTTAGTGAGGGAGGCAGGACACCTATGGTCTGGACTCTGTACTGAATGAACAGAGCCATGGAGATGCTGCAAGCCAAGGCACACATCCACAACTTCCTGCTCCACCTTATTGTGTAGCTGGACCTGTCAAGATACAGAAAACATAAGCATAAAATGTACAGCACTGATTTCCTACTCTGATAAAGCAGACACCATATCGTACTTTACTCTGTAAAGGCAAGACACAATAACTAGATGTCAAAATCGGGTAATTTAGACTATGATCTGTGACAGATGGATTTGGCACAACTAAAGTCAAATAAAGAAAACAGTGTGAAAACTGATTTAAAAAATAATCTATGAAATTCAATGAAAAGAAATGTGAAGCCTTGTTCTGATTTAAAAAAAAAGTAATCTAAAAAGTAGTCTGAATACATTACCTACAATGAGTAACCTAGATTACGTTACTACAATTTTTATCATGTAATCTGTAATCAGTAACGGATTACAATTTGTAAGTAATCTACCCAGCATTGCATTAAGCGCGGTGTGAAAAGCCCTATACGGTATTATGATGTTCCTGGTCATATATTGTGATGCTTACACTGACAGACTGCTGATCCTCACCTTGGCTGATTGAGCTTGTTGTTGTGCAGATGGTTGTGGAGGCTGATGCTGCTGTGCTCCATGCTGCAGTGTCTGCTGGGATGCTCCAGAGATAAGGCTCTGCTACAGGATTCATCTTCCTCAGGGTATACTGTAAACCCGCAGGAAAAAAAGAATTACATCACAGTTACTTCTCCTAGACAGCAATGCATTAAATGGAAGCAAAACGATACTTTGATTAAGTCTCTTGCAATCAAGTATAAGATTTCAATATAAACGGAAACAACATTGATGGCAATAGGAAATGTTGGGAACACTTTACACTAAGATTCTATTTGTTAACATTAGTTGGATGCATTAGTTAACATGGCAAAAATAATTTGGAAACATTTATTAATCTTACTTAATGTTATTTTCAACATTTACTAATATACATTATTAAAACCAAATGTATCAGTTAACATTATTTCTTGGACCTAAGCAAACATGAACAATGAACAATTGTATTTACATAACTAACACTAACAAGGATGAATGAATATTGCAACCAATATTACTTATTGTTAATTAATGTTAGTTAATGCATGAACTAATGGTACCTAATGTGATTTTCTTGTAAAGTGTTACCAGAAGTACCAGACTGGAGTAATGGCTGCTGAAAAATTAGCTTTACCATCACAAGAATAAATTACATTTTAAAATATATTAAAATAGAAAAGAACAAATTAAATGGGAATAATATTTCACAATATTACTGTTTTTTTTAATCAGATAAATCTTCCAGATAAAGCCTCACTAAAAGACTTCTTTCCAAAACATTAAAAATAAATGTACAGACCTCAAACATTTGAATGGTACTGTACATCTAAGATCAAGTTATCTGAGCCATGCTATACATATCAATTTTATATTTCTATATTGTTTAATTTGTTGTAAGGGATTTTAGGAGATGATGAAACATAACAAAAACTTCAATATGTTTCCAAAAAAGAACAACAACATTTTGCTGAAAGAAAAAAAAAAAAAAAGAGACATGAAAGCATATCCAGTCATATAATATTTATTGTGTATTGAAACACATATCACATGATGTTTTGTAAAACTGTGTAAAGTCTGGCTCATTCTTATAAACTGGGCTCACGGAGAGAATTACAACCGGTTAATGAGCTTTTAAATTTTAAAACCGAACAAGAAGTGAATGTCATACCATTTCTGTTTAATTTCTCTTATTCTTCCTGATTGATCAAGGTCAAAATGAATAATGCTTTCAGTTTGGCTTGCTGATGTTAAACATCTCTCATAGTTATTCTTCACTTGAAACACATAGTTGTTTCTTTCTTTTTCGTCAGAATCAGACGACTGAAATATCTGTGGCTTCTGTCTGCCTTCCACATCTCTTCGAAAAATCGCGAGCAGTCCAAGACAATTAGTGCGGACTGCCCTCATGGATTTTCACTTCAGGTGTTGACTAAAGGAGCCCTGCGCTGTCTGACAGCTTCTTGACTCCGTCTCAAGCATCTGAAGGAAAAGCGGCTGGAATGGAAAAGATTCTGGAGTGTTAGAGACATGCGTGGGGTGGCTGCTTGCCCACGGTGGGTGCCCAGTGACTGCACAAACACTGCTCTTTTGAGCTCGTCGGAACAGCTGATGTCAGAAATAGTGCGTAGTGTAAATGATGGGTATAGGGCAATGAGGAAGGGAGTGGACGGGGCTCACTGGTCTGAGCACATTCTCCCCTGGACACATCTGTAATGCTAAATGGCATGCACATATAAACAATTTTTTTTTCTGTGCACTGGTTAAAAATGGATAGTGGCTGGAATCACACAGACTGCTTGTGTGCAGGGTTGTACAATGTCATCTTTCACTAGCATTGGGTTCCTTTACACTACCGTTTAAAACTTTGGGGTCAGTATGATTTTTTTTGGGAAGAAATTAATACTTGTATTCAGCAAAAACGCATTAAAGCGATCAAAATCCAGTAAAGACATTTATAATGTTACAGAAGATTTCTTTTTCAAATAAATTATATTCAACGAAGAATTTTAAATCCTTTTTCAAATTGTAATATTTCATAATTTCATTTTTTACAGCATTTTGATCAAATAAATGCAGCCTGGGTGAGCATAAAAGATTTCTTTCAAAAACATTACAAAATATTACTGACTCTATACTTATGAAGGGTAGTGTATCTCATTACATACTTTATATTACATACTCATACATACTTTCAGGTGTTTTTTAATCCATAATTAATTTACATTTTAATGCTAATTTACGGTTATTTCTTAACAGAGAATCCCACCTGTAAACTTTTGCATTGTACTGCATATTATACACTATCTTTAGCTTAACTATCATGACTAAAATTATGTTTAGTTTTATGCTGAGCTAGAAATACAATACAAATAGATTTGATTTTTGTGTTTTGATCAAATGTATATTTTATTTATGTATTTTTTGTGGAGGATTTAAATTTTAATTACACTTTTTGTTCTGATTCATTTTAGAGGTAAAATTATCTGTAAATATTCAAATTATAAAATTACAATTATACCAAACAAAATTGTAAAATGTTGAAAATTCAAAAACTCATAAATACAAATTGTACAAAAACTAGACCAAAGTTTAAAGTTGTGTTTCACAGCAATGCTCAAACTTAGAATTTTGGCCCAAAAATTGTGTCAGAGAATTGTAGTACAACAAACACAATAAAAAAAACAATAAAATAATCCATAAAAATAAATTGTATTAATGCCACATGTCTAAAATTCAAAAGGTGCAAATTCTTTTTCAAAGTCTTTTTTTGTCCTTTTTCCAGAAACATATTAAGACAACAAACAAAACATAGGTCCTTCTGCAAAATATATGTATTTTACAAGCTGAAAAGACCAGCATGAATGTCCAACCAGATGCTGGAGTCTTTCTGAGAAAAGCTGTCAAGAGGATGCCAGGACCATCATCAAAAACACAACATGCTGGTCATTTCTATCTTGCACGCTTTGCTTCCTTCAGTTTTACAGCAGGCAAAATGTCTTGCAGGCCTTCCAAAGTCAAAAGCCCAACTCAGGATAGACCATAAGCTATACACCTACCAGTAAAACCCTCCTGATGAATCTCACTGAGTGAGGCAGGACGCCTATGGTCTGGACTCTGTATTGAAGGAGCGGAGCCATGGAGATGCTGCAAGTCAAGGCACACATCCACAACTTCCTGCTCCACCTTATTGTGTAGCTGGACCTGTCAAGATACAGAAAACATAAGCATAAAATGTACAGCACTGATTTCCTACTCTGATAAAGCAGACACCATATCGTACTTTACTCTGTAAAGGCAAGACACAATAACAAGATGTCAAAATCGGGTAATTTAGACTATGATCTGTGACAGATGGATTTGGCACAACTAAAGTCAAATAAAGAAAACAGTGTGAAAACTGATTTAAAAAATAATCTATGAAATTCAATGAAAAGAAATGTGAAGCCTTGTTCTCAGTGTGGGCGCATTTATTGCATTTTGCTTTTGTAGAGAAGTACCGCAAAGATATACTGCTTGACTGAGAGTGTCAAAATCTTGAGGCTGAAACAACTTTCTGTTGTTGATTCATTTGAGCATTCAGTGGAGCTGCTGAGCATGTTTGCTATTTGCATGTCACATCTGGCCTCTTGAGGAATAGCACTGCACTGCTTATTAACTGTATTACGGGAACACATGTGTTCTTGCTTAGAATGCCAAAGCCATGGGAATACACAAAGATCTCCTTCATTCTCCTTTGTTTGGAGAGCAGGAACAGCCCATAAAACAATAAACCTTTTCATCAAAGACCATATGGGATGAAGATTACTGATGAAGTTAATGCATTAAATGATGTGACTTCATTTATCAGTTCATTAAGATCAGCTAATTAGTTGCACATTGTGTGTGCATGCATTTTTTTAGGTTATCGAATGAGGCTGAGGTTGTTGAAAGAGTCTCTTGATACAAAACTAACAAACACTTGAAATTGTTACCTTGTCCTGTGCCTGCAGGGCTTTACTGGAGTGGACCTTGATGTGTTTGCGCAATGAGCTGGGGTCGGTGTAACGTTTGGTGCACCCTGGCAGCTGACATGCATACGGTTTCTACCAAAAGTGCCACATAAAATAATAAAGCAAGAGGCACAGTAGAAGAGACAAGGGTAAATTAGTCATTCAAATGTGTAATTCAATTATTTGTGAACAATGAACTGATGAAGAATGAATATATCAAATATACAAGAAATATTCGAAAATAATAATCATTACACATTCACTAAGTTTTCCCTGAACAAAATTCTAATTTGCTGAATATTATTAGTTAGTAAGGTAGTTGTTAGTTTAGGTATGGGGTTAAAGGATCTAAAATATGGTCAAATAAGGGATACATTTGTGCCTAATAAGTACTAATAAACAGCCAATATACTAGTAATATGCATGCTAATAAACAACTAGCTAATAGTGAGAATTGATCCTTAAAATAAAGTGTTACCGAGACTTCTTTCAAAAACATTACAAAATTATTTTTATTACAATAACAGTTGTAGCACTTGTTGTTTTTGACTTTATGTGGCAAATTTAGTATAAAAATATATAAGAAATACTTTACTTTCTAAACTCAAAGTACAGGACAGTTCAAGACTTTTCTCAAAAAAAAAAAAAAAAAAAAAGTTTTCAGATGCTTCACATGGCAACATAAAACAAACCCTCCACAGGATATTACACAGGTGCAGCGCGATACACACACAACAAGATTCAGTAAATATTATGAAATCGCCACATCTGTCCACTTCAAATATTAACCGCACATGTCACCCTGAGCTACACAAATTCTGAAAACAGCACTGACTAATCAATAATGTAATGTTTCTAGAAATGCACTTCTTACATCATACATTTCAGCTGTGCATTCAGAGAGTGTGATAGAGGGTGCGAAGGAAAAGTGAATGCTTTGCTGGATTTCCCAAAGTCTGCATTAATAACACAGTGACACAATTATAACAGCCCTGAACAATCACTTCCACAGATGTGCTCCACTCATCTACATGAAGAATCATGACATTTGCACGGTCAGCATGTCTACAAGACGGCTGCCATCAGAAGCTTACTGACAGCAGTGAACGAAACCACCCTGCTTTGAATAAATCAGCTCTGTTGACTTAAGTGTACTGAGGAAACAGATATCACTTGCAGGCTGGTTGTTACACAGCTTTACAGGCTGGCATGAGAGCCGCGGTGGGAGAACTGTGGAGAGAGGATGTGCAGCCAGAGCTGGTATAGTCGCTGAAGTGGCTCTCTTTTTTTCTTAAGTCATTAAAGTGAAAGGAGATCTCACCAGTATTCCAGACTATAATTCCTTACTCTGAATTTAGTGTAAATAAAACCCTGTTATTACTACTACTATGTCTGGAAAAAGTGACAAGTAAGCTTCCCTCGCTTGTTTGTTTTCATTAGTGGTGTACACCTTTCACATATTAGGTATAAGTGCAAATTCATGATGAAACACAACTATATATACAGTGGGCTCCAAGAATCACTAGTAAAAATTATAATTAGTTAAAGGGGTGGTTCACTGTTTTTTTTCTAGGCTTGATTGTGTTTACGGGGTGCAGTCTAACATGTGTTAATGCTTCGTTTTTTTTAAAAACGCATTATTTTTCACATAATTTACCTTTATTCCACACCGCTCTGTCCCTTCTCTGAGAAACGCGCTGATCATTTCCTTATTT